GGGGACGGTGGTGGTTGTGGCTGGGGGCAGCAGAGCTGGTGGACCGGGTGGTGATGGGGATGATGGAGGTGATTTGCTCCGGGGCAGGAGCAGGGATGGCTGGATGGGCAGGGATGGCTGTGGAGAGAGCAGCTGCTTGCTGGGAGGAACTGGGGGCTGCAAAATGGGGTGGGGGGTACAGCATCCCCCCAGGGAGCAAGTGAGGGGCTGGGGGCAGCTCTTCACCCCCTTCTGTGGCGATGCCAACACGCTGAGGGTGCACCCACACTGTGCTGGGCAGGGCAGGGCTGTGGGGAGCAGCTTGTCCCCATCCTGTTGGAGCTGTCGCTGTGCCCTGGGGGCTGTGGGTGGGCACGCTGGGGGGGCACACCCCAAATTTGCTGCTTTGGGGGGTCTGCTCTGCTCCCACTCCTTCCCCTGCTGCAGGATGTGTGGTGGGGAGACCAGGGCTGGAGCCAGCAGAGACAGGAGGGTGCTGGGGTGACGGGGTGCTGCAGGACACCAAAGTGCCCCAATTGCTGGGGTTCCCCCCAGCCCAGAGCCCTGCCTGTGCCGCATTGCTGGGGCCTGGCTGCGGTGTCTCCGTGCCTCAGTTTCCCCACGTGCTGCGCCACAGGCGCTGCCAGCTCTTTGTTCGCTGGCTCGTGGGGTGGGGTGGCGTGGCTGGTGGTGGGGATGGTGGTCCTCGAGAGACCCCCAGCCATCCCAGCTGCTCTCATCCCATCCTCACCGGGGTCAGAGGCACCAAAACCCTCCTTGGTGTGGATCTGAACCCCAATTAACCAAGCCCTGTTGTTTGGGGTTCACAGGAGCGGGGTGGGGCAGGGAAAAATCCTCCACCTGCTCCCAAAGGGGCTTTTCTTCATCTCCTGCCTGGAGACAAGGGTGGGGGGACAGTGACAGCAGTGTCCCTGTCACAGTGCAGGACACCCTGGGGACCCAAAGGATTAGGGGGCTGAGACCCAGCAGACTTATTCTGTGTGGGCTCCAGGTGGTGGCTCAGCCCTGATCCTGCACAGTTCACACTGACCAGGGGCTCAGCACCATCGGGATCACCCACTGCCATCCCCCTTCTTCCCAGCTCATCCCAGGGGAAACTGAGGCACGGTGGGGCGGCTCAGCTCCATCCTTGTCCCCATTCCCGGCTGTGGGCACAGCTTGGGGAGTGGGAGAGCTCTCACCTCACTCTTTGGGGCATGACGGGGTCGTGGGCTGCCACGCTGAGCCCCCTGCTTTGCCTTCCAGCGTCATTGAGAACCAGCCGGCGCTCAGGACCCTGAGCCGAGCTGACACCAGGGCACTGCGGGACCTCAGGAACCTGTGAGCACCTCGGGGTGGGGTCCCTGCATGGGGAAACATGGGGAGTGGAGGGAGGGGATCCCCAGAGCTCAATCCCACTGCAAGGAGTTGCAGGTATGCTCCAAGAATGGAGAACCTGTGAGCACCCCGGGGGAAATGGGAAGAGGGAAGGGCTGTGGTGGATGGGGGGATCCCCAGAGCCCAATCCCATCGCCAGGAGTTGCAGGGGATGCTCCCAGAGCAGAGAACCTGTGAATAACCCGGTGTGGGGTCCCTGCACCGGGAAATGAGGGGAGGGAAGGGCTGTGGTGGATGGGGGATCCCCACAGCTCAACCCCACTGCCAGAATTCTCAGGGGACATTCCCAGAGCAGAGAACCTGTGAGCACCCCGGGGTGGGGTCCCTGCACAGGGAAATGAGGGGAGGGAAGGGCTGTGGTGGATGGGGGGATCTCCAGAGCTCCATCCCACTGCAAGGAGTCACAGGGATGCTCCCAGAGCAGAGAACCTGTGAGCATCCCAGCGATGGGGTCCCTGCACAGGGAAATGAGGGGGTTGGACAGGAGGATTCCCAGAGCTCAATCCCATTGCCAGGAGTCCCAGGGATCACTCCCAGAACAGAGATTCTCCCAGGTGCTCACCCTCCCCTCCTTTCAGCACCATCTCCAGGTCGGGGCTGCAGCACATCTCTGCCGATGCCTTCCTGGACACCCCCAAGCTGAGCCACGTGTGAGTCTCCCCTTCCCCTTGCCCACCGTGCCCCCGTTGGTGCCCCGGGGGCTGTGCCCGCTGCAGTGTGGCCTGTCCCCGTGTCCCCGTGCCCAGGCAGGATCGATGGTGTCCCATCACTGCCCCCGGGCACATCAGTTTCCCCACTGCTTCTGAGTGGGAAACCATCGATCTGGGCAGGAGAGCAGGCAGCTGCTGCCCCCCCGGGAGCTCTGTGCTGCCCCAATGAGGGTGGGGTACCCCAAAAACGGATGGGGACCCTGTTCTGAGGTCCTGAGGGCTGGTGGCACGCCTGGCAGAGCTGGTTTTGCTTGGTCACGGTGTGACAGCCCCGGGCTGCACCGTGCCACCTCTGTTGGAGGGGAAGGGGTGGCTGATGGGGGCTGTCCCAACAGGAATCTCTCCTCCAATGCCCTGCAAAGCCTTTCCTGGAAAACCTTCTGGCATCTGCCCCTGCAAGAGCT